GGATCCTTATAAGCACCTTGCTTACTGCCCCCCAGTAGCTGTTGCAGTCTGTCTGTCCCCTTTATTTTTGTATGAAGTAATTGTCTTTGCATCTTTCAGATCCTGTGGTGTGTGGCTTTCCTTCCAGAATGTACAGAGAAGTGTGTGGATGTCACTCGCAGGTTTTTTCCTGCTGCCTTTAGGTGCTCCGGAGGTATCTTATTGTTGCCTGCTCCTTTCCCAGGCACAGTCTCTTTGATAGCTTTCTCATTGAACTCATTCAGACATCCCAACTGTGCAATGTCACTCGAGTATACCAGTATTTCTAGGATCAGGGCCATAATATGTATGGCTCAGCTAAGAGATTTGGTGAAGGGACAAAAGCATCGTAACAAATTACAGATATTTGAAGATGGTATGCAAAAAGTGTAGATGAGTGACAGATTAGCTATAAAGAGGCAGAAACAGCAATTGGAGAAAGAAATTTATGTAATAGAGTGATTATCAGGAAGAATGTGCTGACAGTCTGCAGAATAATCTCTATTACTTTGGTGTTTAAAACTAGACTGGACAAATTTCTAAGAAAATACAGTATAAAAAGCCATCCTACATTCATTTCCAAGGGTGAACTCAGATACCTTAATACAACTTTTCATCTATAATTTCTGTGTGTCTGTGAAATACAAACTCCTCTGGAAGTGCCATTCATATGCATGTGAACCAAGGCCAAAGGGCCAAATAGCTTCCTGGTCTCATATGCAGTTTATGTGTTTGCCTCTTTCTGCTCATCTCGAAGCAACACCACAGTTTGTTACCAACCCAGAACAGATCAGGATGTGCATAGTGGAGGAACTGTCAGTGCAGAGGTCATCCCTGGCATGTAATCACATGGATCTAGCTGTTTTGGATTTCCTCAAGCTTTTATTCCCAGAACAATGCAAGGAAAAGTCAGAAGAGAAAAGATGTGGGCAGGAAGACTGAAGATGGGGAACCTCACATGGCTTGAATTCTATTTGCTCTGGATACTGATCATGAATACTGATACTACCTGAGCAACTTGAGCCTACAAAACTGGGCTGCAAACATTACTTAAACAGGGATTTTCTTTTGTTTTATCCCTCTTCCACGGCCCCAAGACATTTTTCCTGTTCTGGTTCAGACACCAGTGGGAGCCTGGAAGGGGAGTTTCAGTTAGGTTCTAAAAATGGACAAATATTTGTGTCAATTCTGTTTTGTCCATCACTGTTTTCAACCTATGATGTGATGCCAAATGTTGGATTATTTGGTGGGGGTTGTGTGTTTTGCTAATAAGTGTTTTTTTCTCTTTAATGATTAGCAAAGCTCTGAAAGTTTAAGGAAGCATAAAATTACAAGCCAAGCTTCTTAGCTTGAGACATCATAGGAATTAGCTGCATCAGGACATTCCCAGTGCATTATGGCTCCAGTAAATCAGAATGGCTTTTCTACTGGCAAATTAGGATCTCTGCTTCCACAAGGCCCAAACTATTGGGCCTAAAAGAGATTTTTAAGTTCAAATTCATTTCAAGTTTTGGGCTCAATCAGGCTGGCTCTTGTAGGCTGTGTGTAGATGAAATGGGGGGGTGGGGTTAGAAAACACCGCTTCAATTTAGGGCCGATTAAACCCCTGTGTCATGCACACACCCCGCTAACTTACCTGACTATCCAGCAGGGAGGGGCATGCGAGCTGCTGGCAGGCAGAGCAGTCCCTGGGCTGTGGGAGGGGCTGGTGCTTTCCCCCATGGCAGTGGCAGTCTCCCCCCAGGTGGCACCCACCTGCAGGCACCCGGCTCGGGCAGTCCCGGGGGGCACTGCTGCTGCAGAGGAAAGCACCGGGCCCCTGCACAGCTCAAGCAGGCTCCTTCTTTTTCTCTCATCACAGTTTTGGCTCAGTGTACTTCTACATTGATCCAAATTGAGTTATTACTGTTATCCACCAGAGTAATTATGAGGAGCACCTGAAAACCTCTGTTCATGGAGCAGGGAAAGTGCTGTGGCTTCCCTGCTCCCTGCAACTCCCCTGTTCTGCTGTACCAGTGTGCCTTACCAGCATGATCTAGAAGGCCCTACCAGAGCTGTGACAGAGTGGTAAAACATGTTAATCATGTCTTCCTTCAAAAAGATGTGATGGGAAAAGGAAAGGGTGAAGCAGTGGGAAAAGGAAAACAATGTTTTTCCATATTTAAATATTTGAAAGACTACCATAAAGGACATGTGAAAAATTGGTTTCCCTTGCCACAGAGGGAAGAATACATGACAGTGGGTTTAAACTATATTAAGGCAGGTCGAGAAAAAATCAAAGGAAAAACTTTCTGTCTGTAAGAGCAGTAGAACAGTGGAACAAGCTGCCAGAGGAAGTTGTGGAATCATCTTTGCTAGACATTTTCAAGAAGAGGCTATATAAGGATCTGTCTGGGTTTGTTTAGAAACATCAAATCCTGACTCTGTGCTAGGATGTGGGGTTGGAGGGGGAGGGTTGGATTAGATGAGGGGTGGCCAACCTGTGGCACTGGTATCGTAAGTGACACAGGCAAACTTTGTGTGTGGTATGTGGCAGACTGGAGAGGGAACAGGCAGCTCAGTGACAAATAGGGCTGGGGACAAAAAGCAGAGCATCAGATCAGGCAGGGATCAGCAAGCAAAGCAGAAGCTTGGTCAGGGAGCATAGGACAGGAAGCAAAAAGCTGAGCAGCAGATCTGGTAAGAAAAAAAGAATCCAAGTGGCACTTGGGGAGGGTGCAGAGCTAATGTATGGCATCCCTGCCAAAAAGATCGGTCTCTACTGGACTAGATGATGCTTGAGGCCTTCTCCATGATTCTAAGGCAGAAGGCAATGTAAGAGAGGATTCTGCATGATAAATTGCATGCTGTCTCTTCCAGTCCTATATCTCCTGTCCCACAGACTAGTATTGAAGTTTATCTGTCACTAAGTATTAAGCCATAGAAATAGAGATCAAAACAGTTATCAGCAACCCTATTCCTTTGCTGAGGAACCAGGGTAGAATTGTTCCTTATCCAGGGCATGCATTATGGGCATTTGTAGACAACACACCGTTTCCCATTTCAGCCGCCACAACTGCATTTGTGTTTGCATGATTGGGATTTCCCGCCACTTTAAAATTCTTTTCAGCACTTTTAGTTAACCGTGCTCAGAAAGGTTTTATTTCCCAGCTCCCTGGCTTACCACGCTTGACTGTGTCGTGCACACACCGAGTGTCTCAAAGCATCTCAAAGATGTGTAATTGCTTTTCTTCGCCATCAGGTGGCGCTGTGAATTTATTTGATGTGTTATCTTTAACCCCTCCTTCCCACTGCTCAGCTGACCAGGTCTGGGTTTGAGGGGTGTGGCTTTCAAAATATATTATTTTTATACATGGGTAGGATAATGGCGAAGCAAGAGCAAATCCATGATGTGCAACAAGTGGTAGTTAATTACCCCTTGGTAAATTTTTTGCCTCCTGTAATATATGTGCTCCCTGTGTACCCACTGCCCATGCCCCCCACCTGTTGCACCCACAGGGTTCGTAGCTGCCCAGTATTACAGCATCAACAGAATGGTAAGTTTGCAAAGTTTTGAGTTTGCTAGCTACCCCTACCCTAAGACTTCCTTGAACACTTCTCTTTTTAAACCTTCCTATTTCAGAGATTCCTATTCCAAAACCATGGAGAATAGTTCAGGTGGACACTACCTGCCAGACACGCTGTTTAACATATCCACCAACCCCCAGTTTTGTCTCTTTTCTTCCCCCTCCCTCCAAACAATGCAGCAATCCCTCCGACCAATGAAGGATAGAAAAAAGAACAAAGAACGATAGTGTTTAGATTTTGTATACATATTTTGTATAGATGGAGATAGTTTTATAGATAGAGCTATAGAGATATTTTGTATAGCTAGAGATAGTTTTAATATTATTTATATATAATTTACCTTACTTTAATTATATATATTTAATTTAAGTACTTTTACTTTTTTAAAATAAAAAATGTACTTCTTTTTCTGTTAATAAAAGTTTTGTCATTTTTTGTCTATATATATGTGTGTCATGTTTATTTCATAGGCAGATTGGCATGGCTAATCAAGCCTGTGTGGGGTGGGCTGGCAGACCTGATGACCACGCCCTCCTCAGCCAGCATGGGGATACTTTGCTTGGGTGAGGCCATTTATGGAGTCATGGCATTATTGGAAAGAGTTGCAGGGTAGGCTATCAGAGGTCAAATGCTTGTTCCCCACCCCCCCATCCCAATGTGCAGCGATCCTGGCGAGCCTGTGGGTGAAGCCAGCATCCTCCACCCCCATCCCTAGCCACAGCAGCAAGCAGACAAGAAGGCATGCATGGACCCTTATTGAGGGTGATTAGCAACTCTTTCTTGTATTATAATGCATGGTCCCTGCGGGGAGGGGTGTTGTCCCCCTGGAATATCTTCAAGCAGTGTTTTTTCTGCCTATCCATCCCTCCCCCTGCTTCTACACCACAGCTGACCACAGGGAGCCAGGCAGTGAAGGTAATGGCGGAACAATCTATTATGGGATGTTCAGTTGTTTTGTTCCTACCGCCACTGCTGGTAGCTGCTCCCTGCTGCACTTGTCTTCCACCTAGCACCAGCGCCCCTGCCCGCTGCACCCAGCATGATGCTCAGCATGGAGCACAGCAGCATCTCCAGAATGGCAAGTTTGCAACAGAGTGTAGTAGCCCTTAACCCTTCAATATTTCAAACCTTCCTATTTTTTATAATTCACATTCCCAGTCTAGTATCTACTCCCCGTGTCTGCTGTGCCCACCACCACGGTGTTCAGTACTGACCAGCACAGCAGCATCAGCAGAATGGTAAGTTTCCAGCTTTCTGGAGTTTGGTACCTACCTACCTTCCCTTTCACCATTCAATATTTCAAACCATTCTATTTCTTATATATTTCATATAATTCACATTCCCATTCCAGAACCACGACAATTAGTCAAGGTGGATGCTGCCTGCCAGACCGTCCCCCCAGACTATAAACTGTCCCTGGTGATATATAGGTAATAAATGTCCCAATGACCTCGGGGAGGAGGGGGAGGGGGGAGGACAGGGGTTCGACTTGTGTTGGTTCAAACCCCATTCTTCTTTTTTCTTCCCTTCCCTGCAGAACATTATGGACATCAGAGATAGAACATTTTCAATATTGATACTATGTAGAAGCCACTTTTTTTCGTTAGAGTTATAAAGTTCAGAAATTTGAAATTGTGTCAGTTGTTTGTTTTTTTTCATTCCTACATGCATACATACATAGGCAGATTGCATTTTGGGAGTGGGTGGGGTTGGTTGGTTGCGAGAAGTGCTGGCCGCGCCTGCCCTTCTCAGCCTGGGGATCCTTGGCATGTATGCAAGAAAGTTTCACAAAAGACAGGAGGTCACATGAATCATTCACTGTTAACAATTGTTAGCATTTATGGAGTCACGGCATACTGGAAAGATGGGAGGTCCTCCAATGTTTTCTTTACCCACAATCCAAAAGCCAGGATCACCCTGTTGTAAGCAATAGTCATCCCAACGCCCCCCACCCCATCTGCCCATCCACCCCAGAACCAGGCAGACAAGAAGAAAAGCAGCAAGTGGCAATACTTGACCAGGCATGCATGCAGGGATCTTGAATGAGGGCAAGTCTTCTTTGTAATGGTTGGCTTTTGTTTTCCCATCATCCACCTCCAAAACACCCTCCCCAATCAATCAATCAAAACACCATCCCCTCCCCAATCAATCAATCAAGCAGGAGCAAGTACAAATCAGCATTTTTTCTTTCTGCTCTTTATTTTTTCACAATAAATTGAAATGCTATCTATTTTGATTGGTAAATCACGATACAGCTGAAACAGTATAGACATTTTTGTTTGATTAATGTCGATCAATATTGATCAGTATTACTACTATCAAGCATGTAGTAGCATAAGCATGTGTGTGTGTGTGCACACACGTACACGTGCATGAGTGTGTGTGCATAGACAGGCTGGGAATTTTCTGCAACCAAAAGCGGGGTCATATTTTGGCCTCAGCTCTGGGGCAACAGACTGGGAGAGAGAGGCCACAGCCCAGGGTGCAACAGGTGGATACTCGGGCCAAAGCCTGTTCAGAGTGTCATGCATGGCTTCTGAGAGGTGAGACACCACTTCTACTTTATGGGAATGTGATAACATGATTTTTTATTGTAATGAACACACTATTGTAAGTGCTCAGTTACTTGGTCTTCCTTGCCTTCACCCCACCATCACCCTGAACCTGCCCTGGCTCCCTGAACCAGAGTGGTGACCGCCTGGCCCTGGTGGCAGTGTTACGGCCCTCCCCTGACTCAAGTGCATTTTGGGGAGCAAGCTCAGCTATATTGGCTACCTCCTGGACAGAGGCAAGCTGAGGAGAGCTACTTTTGTCTTTCGGTACCCACTTTTTGAAGTGGAAATTCGGCTGGTATCTGCTTTAATACTCTGAGTTCACCATTTTGTCCAGGATATCATGTATCAAGTCATGATACTGAACAAAACAATGGTGTATACCCCTCATCCACCACCCCTGAAACAGCATGGTGACCCACCACCAGCCACACATGAATGTAACACCCCGCCCCAGCCCACAAAGCACAACTGACATGAACCTGAGTAGTACAGTGCCTGGCAGTGACAAGAGGCACATTACAAGATACTTACAAGTCACCGGTCACACATCTTCTTGCATCTTGGGAGCACAAAATGATGACTGAGTGCTGGGAAGAGGACCCTCATTGACTGCATCAGTTTCTCCTCGTTATTCCTCCTCCTCCAGCTGATATATGCTACTCTCTGGAGTCGAGAGGGACACTGGCACTGGAATCAATGTAGGGTGACTTGCTCTTCTTCTTGGCAGTGCCCGTCCACCAGGAGCATGGAGCAGTTTCCGTAGTTCTTCGACATGCTCATGGTACAACTCTCAGGAGGAGCTGCCTCTGTCAGCGTGATCTCCTCCTCCTCCTACTCCTCTTCCTCCTCCTCAACACTGGTCCTGAAAGTCAGCATACCTGGAGTGTCACCATGCATCCTTGGCGAGAATGATGGACAGCTGGTCGTAGAAAGGAGCAATTGTGCACCCTGCCCCAAAGCAAGAGTTCACATCTTTGGCACAGTAAAACACAGATCTCAGGGCCTTGATCTTGCACTGGACCTGGGTACAGTCATGGTTGTGCCCTCCAGCCTGCAGTGCTTTTGCAATGGTGACATAAACAGGCTTATTCCTCCTATTTTCCAGCCTGTCTATGATGCTTTGCTCTGACCAGATGTCAATTAAGTCCTGCAGTTCTTCCCGGGTCCAGTTGGGTCCACATGTGTTGGAGGTACCAGCCTCTTGCTCCATGACCACCATACTGCTGGACTTCACTTTCTGAGACATGGGGAAGCAGCTTGTGGTCAACAGCAAGTGATTCATGAAAGGTCCCTGGCAAAATTTGGGGTGCTGCTTTATAAAACTGCCACCAAAATTCAAATGATTGTGAAGCCATCATCTGTGCCAAAAGGTGAAGAAGCACACCTTTACCAGCAAAAGACTTGTTGATGGGCTTAAGCTTGGCATATGGAAGGCCACTGTCCATTGGGATGGCTGCTCAATGCCCAGGAATGTTACCAAAATCGATTCACACCTGCCCTGCCTACTAATGTTTTGGCCTGTTGTCCCCTAGTTAGTCCCACAATGAAGGCCTTTTTTGTTATTGCTGAATAAAATAATGTTATTGCAGAAGCACAGTCTGTTGTTGCAGACCTTGGATACATATTCAGGTGGCTGGTCCAACATTAACAGGAGAGGAGTATTGCAAAATTTTCTGTTTGCAACCTTTTGATTACAACTTGTCTTGAACAAAGACTTGATGCATTAGAGCATGGCTGCACAAATGCCCAAATGCCCAGTGCACCGGGGCTACTTATTGAAAAACCAGTGGTCACCTATGGAATGCAGCTAGGTAGACAGAGATCAACTCCCCCCCCCCCCCCCCCCTTCTGTCCCACACTGGTGTGGGGGGATGGTGGTGATATACTAAACATGTGAGATGGAGAAAAATGCAGTGAAGGCTCCTCCACCATGAAGAATCTGGAGGACATGAGTGAGCAGGATGAGAGAGGATGCTCGTGCTGAGAAGGCGACGTGATGTACTGCTGATCTGGATGAGAATAATGATGGACCACCAAATAAGCATGCTAGCATTTGCAGCATTAGTGTGTATGCAAGGTGTCAGAACTGTGTAAAAAAGAAAATGGAGATGTACCAAGAAGTGGTGGGAAAACACAGTGGAATGCAAAGATGCAATGGAACATGACTGGGTTGTGTTGAGAAAACTCAGAAGCAGCATCCACATGGTCTGGGCCTGCAACAGCAGCTCGGACTGGTGGGAGTGAATCATGCTGACCACTTGGAATGAGCAGCAAAAGCTGGAGACGTTCCAAATGACCAGGTTGATGGTTTATATCATCTCAATGTTGGGGCCGTACATTGTGAGGCAAGACACCAACATATAATGAACGAGCTATCCCACTGAACAAGAGTGGCAACGGCCATCATGAAACTGGCCATGCCGTGAAGCCTCCACTACATCAAAAACCAGTTTGCCATGGCTCCCTGCCCAGTTGGGGTGGCAACTCGCACAGTATGCTAGCTGCTAAAGGACATTGCAGAAAACAAATTTATCTGCCTTGGGAATGCACGGCAGGTCATAGATGGCTTCAATGACAAGGGGTTCCCTAATTGCATGGGGGCTCTAGACAGCACTCACATCCCAGTGGTGTGCCCTTCGGGGAAAGGGAGGTCTTTCACAAACGGGAAAGGATTTGCCTCCATGATACTGCAAGCCACAGTGGACCACTGGGACTGGTTCACAAACATTTTTACCAGGTGGGCCAGCAGCGCACATGACGTGTGTGTGTTCAGAAACTCTCCTCTCCCTTGATTCACGGAGAAAGGACACTATGCACCCAGAGCCCACAAGACAGTGATCCACGGTGTTGCTGTTCCCCGGTTATATTAGTAGATGCTGCCTACCCCCTAAAGCCCTGGTTCATGAAGCCTCGTGGAGGGAACATTTCCAACCCGCAGAAGCAGCTTTTCAACTACCGTCTGAGCAGCTGCAGGATGGCCATGGAATGTGTGTTTGGCCTACTGAAAGGACATTGGCAGATGCTTACGTGCTGGCTCAAGCTGGAGCCAGAAAATATCACAGCATTTGTAGTGGTAGCCTGCATGCTGCACAACATCTGTGAGACCTGTGGAGAGGTTTTCAGGGAGTCGTGGACTGAAGAAACGCAACAGGCAGCGGCCACACAGAGATGTGGCTAGGCAGCAGTGCAGGGACCGAGGAGATATCAACAAGGAGAAGCTGGTTGAGCAGCACTTGTGCAGGACTCCCTGGCAGCACGTATTGCTGACAGCAACTAGCAGTGCTCTTTCTTTTCAGTACAATAAATTCTTTTAAAATTTACAACTAAATATCTGTGTCTGTCTGCAGGGGTGTGCAGTGTAGCAGATGGGGGGTAGGGGGGGGATGGGAGTGGAGGGGAAGATGAGCAGGATGGGTGGTGAGGTGGACTGGGGTAGGGGGTTGCTGCTTGGAGGCTGGCAGTGGTTTGGGGGGAGCTCATTACACACCAGCACTTATTGTCCTGTATGTGGAAGGGTTAAATACTTTGGCGGGGTGGGGCACCTGGCAGCGGGTATGGGGGACGGGTCGGGGGTGACTGAACAGTCTGAAATCCACCTTAGGAATGTGACTGAGAGGGAGGTGGGGGGTCATATTCCACCCAAAGATCAACAGCAACATTATTTAATTTTTTTTGTACTTATGCACCCACTGCCTTTTTTTTTTTAAATAAGGTTTTGTAAATTTTGTAATAACATCTTGTAATTTTTTTGTCTACTTGTGTGTGGCATGTTTTCATGTTTTCATAGATGTTAAGTTGGAAGGGACCTATTAGATCATTGAGTCCAACCCCCTGCCCGGGGCAGGAATGAGTGCTGGGGTCAGATGACCCCAGCCAGATGTCTGTCCAATCTCCTTTTAAACACCTCCAAGGAAGGGGACAGCACCACCTCCCTTGGAAGCTTATTCCACGTTTTGGCAACCCTCAAAATGTTTTATTTTTTCTTTTTTCCTTTCTTCCTGGAGTTGGTTTGGAGAGGTGATGCATGACCACACCCA